GATGCATAGAGGGGACAGCTGTCTTAAGCAGATGCACTTCTTCAGTGATAAACTATCTTTTCTTATTTCTTATGCTTAAAAAAAGTCTCAATGAATCAATGACAAGAGGATCCATTTTTCATTTAGCAACCCCAAGAGCGAATGATTGGATGGAATACATAAAAAGATGGTATGCATGAAAATAGAGCCAGCAGGGCCTGGGAAGTGTCCACAAAAATACTGACAAGCATGAAAAGTAAACTACTGTACCTTTTACAACTGAAAAACAACATTTATCCAATTGCTGCATTAGCTTTATGGAAACAGATATCTCCACATCCCCAGACTGCATTTTTTTAACAGGAATTGTTTTGAACAAGACAAAAGGTTTATTTTAATGTGAATCACTATACCTCATATCTGCACAGATTTGTGTTCAAAGTGTTGTTTGCCTTGATGATTATTAATAACGTAAGAAAAGCAGAGGTGGTTTGGGGATAATACCTAATGAGTCTGGGTTTGGATTTAACTTTCCTGATAATGTTTATGTAAAACTCAGATTTTAGTGTCTACAATAAATTCTCAATCTTTATCAGGAATCTAATTTCAGACACCCATTAAAAAACCAATCTTGGCTTAAATTCCAGGAAAAGCAACTTGACAAGGGAGATTTATTCAACTGTGGAGTAAACTAGCAGGACTCCAATTCTGATAATTCTGTTAAATCTTGCTTTGAAATAATGAAGGCTCTATTGTGACTAACCTCCATCCACAGACTTCAAAGGTACAGTATTTTTCATGCACTTTTCCCTTTCCCTCCACTGAATGGTTTGTTTAGTTTTTAGAGGTTTTAGTCTCAGCTGGATATGCACTCAGATAAGAACATAATGTACCTTCTTTCCATGTGTTTTCTACACCAATTCTTGCTTTGGTAAAAAGTAGGGATGCACTGATAAAAAATTTTTTGGCCGATACTGATGGCCAGTTATTAACCAGCAATGTCGACCAATACCAATCCCATAGCCTATATGCAGCCCAGCAGCTTGGAGAGCAGCATCTGGCTGGTAAGTCTATAGTGGAAGGGGCATGGGGGCGGGGGGGCAGATTGAGGCCCCCACAGTTAGGTGGGAAATGAGGCTGGAGCAGGCACTACCCAGCCAGAGAGGGCTGAGGTGTGGGACGGGGTCACAGACAGCTTGTCTGGGGAAGTGGGGGCAGAGGATGTGAAGGGGGGTGGCTCCTCGCCACTCTGCTCTCTCCTAGGGCAGACATGGGGTGTATGTACCCTCTGGATTTGTGCGTGGGGCAAGGGCGAGATGTCTGCTCTGGGGCTCCAGGCTGGGGGCTGCACCAGCATCTTCCTGATGCGCTCAGGGTAGGCGGAGCAGGGCGGGCAGTGGTGGTACTGGGGAGCAGGGGCTATGGAGAACTTTGGGATGGCTATAGCCCACCCCGTAGCCACCCCTCCCAGCACCCCCCCCCCTCACCTGAGCACAGACCTGGCCCAGCCCCCCTGCTGCGAAGAAGCCAGCACAGCCCCTGGCCCCAAGCCTGCAGTGGGCAACCTGCCTTTGCCCCATGCACAAGTCCAGGGGGCACATGCACCTCATATCTGCCCTGGGGGTGCACGCAGTGGTGATAAGCCGCCCCTCTTCCCTGAACAAGCTGCGACTGTCCCACATCCCACCCCGCTCCAGCTGGTCAGTGTCTACCCCAGCCCCATTCCCTCCCACACCCTCTCCCTCCCCCTTTGGGCAGTGAACAAGCTACACCAAGGAAGTGTGTGTTTGCAAAGAAGCAAATACACACTTCCTTGCTGTAGCTTGTTCACTGCCTAAAGTCTTTGAGATCAGGTAAGAGTCCAGCATTCCCCCACCTACTGCACATGGCTTCTCCTGTCAATCATGGAGTCTCCCTACTGCCAGTTTTCTTCTTCCTTGACTGCTTTCACTATCTAACAGAATCCTTCTGCTCTAGGCAACCTCCTTTGTCTCCATGAGTCTTTCATAAATCATCCCATATGCATGCAGTGCGTAGCATTGGTCTGAGACCCATGGGCCAGATCTGATCTGTGGGCCCCATGTTTGATACTTCTGCTCCAGATATAATAACATCCTCTCTCTAGGTCAAGTTACTAAAACTAAAGTCCTGGAAACTTAACTTTATGCAGTTAACGTTAGGCACTTTCTTAACACCTGTGCAGCAGAGACAAGAAAGAAAAATATATGCAACATTATATGGGAAGCATATATAGTCCAAGGAAATTTTCTTATAGAATCCACAGTAATCTGACAGGCCACCTTAGGGCTGTCCTCAGCACTGCTGTTACACACACATACCAGACAAGAGGCCTTGAGGACAATCACAGGGGAATATTCCCAGAGCAGTATCACTGGCACATTTCTAGGCTTGCTGCTTGCAGGCAGGATGGGGCATACTCAGGGATATCCCTCCCAGGATATCCTCCATACTGTACAATTACTGCTATAAATAAGCCTAGGAAGAGTGACATCACTCCCCGATTTCAGATGGGATGGTATTTGGCATGTGCAGCTATGCTGAATGTTATGGGGGGTAAGAGAGAGGTCAGAGGTGATGGCAAGCAGGCAGCACAGCAAGAAGTAGCAGGGAACAGTGCAGAGCTACTGCATCTGATGGAGAAACAGTGAGAGAAAGTGAGTTCTTTAGTAGAAGGGTGCAAAACATCTATGTACCCAGCCTCTAATCTGGCACAAGAATAAGAGCATGACTGTGCAAAGACAATATTGAAACACAGTAAGGCCAAACAGGAACACAACATGCGAGTGCTTACATGCAGTTGATAGAAGTAGGCTGATATGCACCACTTCCTCTTCTTGAGGCATTTACTGTATTTTCTCTGTGATCACACAATCTAGCATTTTTAATCTCCGGGTTTCTAAATGAAAACTTCATTTACTTGAAGCACACTTACCTAGCTTCAAGTAACAGAGGAGTTGAGTACCACTTTGTAGTCAGAGATGTTGTCACAGCTTTAGAATCTGCTTTAACTAGAGAAGAGCTGAACCAAATTCCAAGGACTGCAATAAAAATTCCCATTTTATAGGAAATTCCTAACAGGAAAGAAAAAGTACATCAGAAACAGTCATTTTATGTCTCATTTTATAAACACTGAAACCTACCCTACCAAAAAATATAACATTGCCAACTGGAATTCAATGGCCTGTATCTGCAAGTCAGAATAAATCCTACAAATATTAAAAAAAGAGGCATTTATAAAGATTTGACTCCCTAGCTGCAGTCAAGCCTAAACCATTTCTAGTTTCATGCTCTAAGGTTTACTGAAAAATGGTCATGTTCAGGTACCTGACTGTTGGATATGGAATTGCAATAGTCCCAAGTCCTGTCCCCCTGCTTCTCCACCTGACCATTACTATAGAGATACATTGCTGATGTCCTGACCAAAAGTCAGATACTAGGGTGATGGGAGCCAAAGTCAAACAGACAGCTTTGCAGTTTGGATTCAGCAAACTAATAAAACTTGCAAGGAGGCAAAACCCCACAATTCTCTCTAGAGGCTGAATTAGGAGGGCCCAATGGTCAAGTGGAGTGGGGGCTATAACTGAAGAGATTTCCATAGGCTAGGAGGCCCATACCTTGGAATTAATGTCATTTCACCACTAGCCTCTACGTTGGGGTGGGCAAGGTCTGGCCCACAGGTTGGATTGGGCCAGCAGCAAACTCCATTTCCTAGCAGCCCCTGCCCACGACTTTGTGGCTGGTTTCCACGGAGACCCCAGCAGTAGCAGGGCAGTGACAGCACAGGGTCAGAGTTTCCATGAAGACCAGCCCCAGCAGCACTGGCAGAGAGCAGGGAGCTGCTCTGGGGCCAGGATCTTGCAGCAGTGACTGTGTGGTCTGGAGTCAGGCAGAACTGTGATCTGCTGCAGGAGGAGGGGTTGTGGGGCAGAAGCCTAAGGGGCCACAACTTAACCCGTTATGAGCCACATATAGCTCACAGGCCACCATTGGACAGTGCTAGTCCAGTGGCTAGGCTTCAGTACTCTCACCACTGGGCCCTGAGTTCAATTCCTGGTCAAGGAAAGCAGCCTGTCTTGTTCTTCAATAGCTCCAATTTCTTGCCCTCATTTACAAGCTTTTACATGGCACCACCTGCACCCTCTTACATCTTGACTCTCATTCCTCCTAGTACCCACTCAGTGTGTGTAAACATACGTAATGTTTGCATATGGATACATATATATACATATGCGCATTATACACATATGTGTGCGCGTATACCTATTTTAAATTAAAGTGCATGTCTGGACTCATCACACACTGCCAACCCATTAGAATCTCTGCAACTTCTTTATGCTCTCTATTCTAGGAAAGGTCTTCCTTCACCAAGCCAAACAAACTCATTCCACTCGAGATTTACTTAGTTTCTGCTAACATTCTACTAACAACTGCCCACCACTGCTCTTGCCTCATCTCATGGTCATGTAACTGAATTAAAAATACAATCATTTTCCTTTACATGACACCTGGCAAGAAGCCCAGCTGGCAATTGTAGCACTTTATTTGCACTGCGGTAGAAGGAAGCACAATTAACATTTGTTGACTAAGTCCCTGAAAGAATTCTACAAATTGAGGATGTACAGAGCTTCCCAGGATTAGGCACTTTTGTCCCTACCATTTATATATGATTGCAGAGCCCAGTTAAAACAAAGAATACATGATTCTCTGTTGTACATATACAGTAAAGATCCTGAGCTATGCTTAACTCATGCTCCCATGAAAGATGGAGCAAAACCCTTGTAGTGCAGATATGTAACAGAAAAAGTAACTTGTCTGCTACTGAGAAACATGTTGGAACTGCAGACGACAGTCTGTTATGGATCACTGAGCAACACAGTGGTAACTCTTTGTTATGAAGATGCACTCTTCAGGTCTGTGCCTGGGATGTCTTAAGACTATGCTTGGACTATTCTGGTTAGCTGATAGCAAAGTTTCAAGGAAGACAACCAAGCAGGTCAGAGTGGCCTGAGGGGGAAGAAGGAATTGAGCTTCTCCAGTAGCTCTCCAACTTCTCCAGGGCAGAGGGGAATGCAGCATGAATGGGCTGGTTGTATTCAGTGCAAGATGACTTTACGCATTGTGATCTCCCTTGAGTTAAGGGAAAGTAGGTGTTTTAGTTCTGTTTCACAAAATAACTTTCTCTGATTTGGAAAAAGCATCAAGCCAGAACTCCATAGGCAGGAGCGAAGTGCCGTTATTTGCAAAGTGTTTTAAGAATCCCTGAAATGGAATGTAATATGTATATGTCAAATATTAATGGTAACCATTATTTATCTATTTTGAATTGTGCCACTCTTCCTAACAAGTGCTTGGGTGGGGCTTACAATAAGGCAACAAAATAACTTAAAACAAAAAGAAGCAATACATTAAGCAGAATCTTTCAAGGGAAGGTCTCTGTGTGCAAAGTCCATATTTTAAAGTGGATATGGACAGCACGCCAGCATGTGGTAAGCCGACTGATCACACACCCTTCGTCTGCAGCCTATATGAGCCACATCCACCTGCCATCTGATACACCACAGGCAGTTGTTGCTGTTATGATCTGCTACTGCAGCCTGCAAGAGGTACCACAAAAAAAACAGGAGAAACTGCCATTTTTCACACTGGTATCATTGAACTGTTGACAATAACTTTCTCTAGAATTTATACCTTCACACGGCTGCTGGAAAAAGCAAGGTTGGAGTAACAATTACTACTCTGCCTTCAGCTATAAGTCTAGAAAACAATTAGAGGCTTCCACTCTGTATTACATCTTTCATAAGGAACTCACATTAAGTCCTGAAAAAAGGATCTCCACATATTTACCTCAAACACTGCACTTGTTCTTAAGGCAGTGGGGAGACCACACAGAAATACAATAAGGCATTAAACTGCACTTGGGCCCAAGTTCCTGGACATAAAGGGGAAGGAAACCGTTACATAAGAAATTATACCAGTGGCCTAGTACTTTACATCTGTCTTCAAGCAGTGCTAGAAGGTGGGGATCCCATCTCCATTTTACAGAACCTGAATCTGAAGCATGAGGATAAAGGGATGTGCCTGGAGTCATACAGCAACATGCCTGACACAGCAGTGCTTTGAACCCCTTTGTTCCCATTCCTAGTCCGAGGCCCATGTTTATTTCCACAGGAAATTATCTTTAAAAATACCAGTGCAGCACAGTGTCACAGCTGGAAGGTGGCTCAGCATCAGAGCAGGTCAGCTACGGCAGCTGCGGGATCTCCGCAAAGCACGGGCTGGACAAACATTTGGAGGGAGCAGTTGGGACACAGATGGCTCTGCCTGGAGCAGACCTATTTGACACATATGGGGAACATGGGCCTTAGGCCCACAGTGCAAGTTCATAGAGAATACGTGCCTCTGGATACGTGTCAACTGCTTTTGTGGGACAAACAAGAGAAAACAGGGATGGGAGTGAAAGTGAAAGGTTCAAAGTGAGCCCAGCAAGGGAGGACAGTGAGCAGCGAGTGTCAGACAGTGCTCGGTGAAACTCTGCTGGCAAGTGAGAGCGGACAAGGGACAGGAGAGTGGCCTCGAAGTCCCCGGGGCCTCCTGGACAGAACCTCCTTCCTGGGTCGATATGTTGCTAGCCTGGTCAGGGCCAGCAGGAGGTCTCGGCGCCGCGGCTCGGGTGGCTGCCTCGTCCCTCCGAAGCCTGTTTCCCCGTGACGGATTATTAAGGCGATGGCCCGAGGGCACGAGTGTAACACAAGTCCCGCTGACTTGCAAGGGGCGGCGGGGCCCCTTCGCAGAGCCCGCAGGCACAGGGCCGGGGCTGGCGCTGTCACAGCCCACGCGGCCCCGTTCCCCCCCCGGAGCAAACGAGTCTCCCTGAGGCCCCGCGCCCGCCAGCGGCCCCTGGCCCATCCCCACGCGTCGCACCTGCCGCGCGAGCGCTCGGAGCCGCCGCGCTGCCTGCACCTGTGAGCGTCCGCCACGCTCCCTTCCTGCTCCGCCCCCCACTCCCCGACTTCCGGGCCGAGCGCTTCCGCTTCCGCCCCACTGCCAGGCGGCCAGAGAGCACCCCTCTTCCCCAACCTCCGCAGGCCATAGAGACACGGGGAGGCTAGAGCGCCATCCAGCCGCCATCTTGGGGAGGAGCCGAGTCGGGCTGGAGCCTGGAGGCGTCTGGCGAAGCCCTGCGCTGGGGAGGGGGGGGTGTAGCTGACGTCAGTGGCCCCTCGGCCCTGCCTGAGGACGGATGTTTCGATGAGCGACCCCACAGCTGTTCTGGGCTGCCGTCATGTTATCGCAGGCGATAGCATACGATAGTTCCTACTGCCAGAGCCTAGACGTGACCTAGAAGTGGAAGTGTTGTTACACACCTGAGGGAAACGGGGTGGAACGAGGCAGATGGATTTTGGCTTCAGTTGTACCTCCTCCTTTCCTAGAGCTACACCACATTTTGTGCCTGAAAATTGTTTGACATCTTGACTATAATAGTCCAATAATATGTAATATTATAAGCCACAAGTCTGTAAGTATCGTGCATAGTAGAGAAGACTAATCATTTGTGGGTGGCACAAGGGAAAAAGGTCATTTTAGAGTACACAAAGGTCTGCATCACTTCACTGGAGGCAGAGGTAGGGGCTGGCTGTGGATACCCATCTGCTAGGAACGCTAGCGCACAGCAGGGCCGTGAAGCCTTAGGCACAGTCTGTAGTGCACACAGCAGGAACACAACTAGATATTCCTGCAAGTGGTAAGGAATAGTTATAGAAGGACATTCTGCCTTTATGCCCCAACCCTGACACCTAACACTGCAGCGTTGGAGACTACTTGATAAATGCTCTTTCTGACATAGCAAACACAACATCCTACATTTCTGAGCCAGGGTGGGGCAGGGAGTAGAGTGAAACCCATCATAAATAGCTTCCTTCTACCAAACACTGTTCAAATAAAAATATATTTTTAAATTGCAATCATCAATAGTATTTAGGACTTCCTCTCAGAAACATGCCATTTGTGGGCTTTGAAGAAATCTTACCCTAACATACTTAAGTGGGATAAATCTGGTAGGAGGCTTAGATTTCCTTTGTATGCTCATCTTCTGCTGTTTGGCCTCAGTCCAGACTGACAGCATTTACTTTAAATACCCTGCATTGCAAATTCAATCTGGAAAAAGAGTCAAGTGGCTCTAGAGCAGAGCTTTCCAAACTGTGTGCCGCGACACATTAGTGTGTCGGCGGCAGTGTGTAGGTGTGTCGCGCGAAATGCAGAAAATTTTGCAGAAGGGCACCGCGGAGCTCCCTTACTAGCGTCTGCTTCCCTTGGCCCCTCCCCCGGAACTGAATTACTGTGTCGCGAAATGATGCATGTCTAAAAAGTGTGTCACCAACATGAAAACTTTGGAAAGCTCTGCTCTAGAGCCTACTGCCTAGCCTTGGTACTCAGCCTGCAAAGAAAATAGGAGAGCAAGAATTGTTACAATGCATCAGCCTGCCAAATGCCAATGGCAAGGACAGTAGATGAGTAGCTGAGTTTGTAACCAGGAATGATTTGCAATATTTCTCCCCTCACTCCAGGCCAGCTTGGCCATTACATACAAGTAAACACAGCCAAGAGAGTCATCTCTCTATTTTTATTGTTTGCATCACGGTGAAAGATTCTGGTCTTCAAGGTGCCTTGCAGTCACAATTGCCCACTTTCCAGAAAGAGATGAATGCCCAAGTGCCAAGCAGGATGCAACACGAGCACAAACTGCTTGGGGTTGCGGTGTGTGGAGGGGCTACCTAACAATAAAATGAAGAGTTTAGCAGAAACTACAACTCATCACTTACTTTAAATGATCTGCAAGTGTTGTAGTGCCATGCCAGTGGGCACAGTCAATAAAATAACCAACCAACCAAAGGTAAACGCATAACCTGTTGCCTTCACCACCTACTGGCTCCTGCCTGGATTCAATTGCTAATTCACATCGGAGTGGCTCCCCACGTGGCAAGTGCTAGATAACTCCCGACTAGTAAGTCACCTGTGCTGAAAGCCCGGGTGACCATCATCACTGATGAAACGGACTCCTCGTGATCACCCCGAGCCCCACCAGAGGTGCTGCAATACCTAGGAGCTCATCCCAGCCCGGGAAGATCTCCTGGATTCTCGTCAACCCTTCCGCGCGCCCGGGCTCGGCACGGGTCTCCCTCCTGTACTGCAGAGAAACGAGACAACTGCGGGGGGAGTGGGAGCGGTCCCGGGACGCCCCTCTGGCAGCGAGGACAGGCACGTCTCGACCCGAAACGCCTCGTGGACAAGAGACTTGGGGCCCAAGCGGTCCCGGCTGCGACCGCGCTACATCGGGGCGGACCCGGGAGCCGCTTCCCCAGGCCGAGCCGGGAAGTCACAGGCCTCTGACAGCGCGGCGACGTCCGCCGAGGGACCCGGGGGAGGGGAAACATGCGGAGCCACTGCACCTGGCGGCGCCAGCCCCGCAGGGAGCAGCGCGGCACAGCGCACGCCCCACCCCCTCCTTGGCACCGCCCTATGGCTCCTCCCGCCATGCGTCTCAGCCAACCGCAGCACGAACCCAGGCCCCTACTCCTGCCCCTCACTCGCGAGACCTCCTCCGCGAGACCCCCTGACAAGAACTACGCCTCCCAGCAGCCCCCGCGAGGCCGTCGCCCCAGCCAATCACCGCCCGAGGAGAGGGGGCTGGGGCCGTAGTGCCCCTGTGGGCAGGGCCCACCGGAGCCAATCAGGCGGAGGGTGGCTGCAGCGGCGGAAGCGCAGCTCGGTTCTGAGCATCGGTGTCAAGTGGGGAAACGGCCCAGAGGGCGGCTCCCACAGCCCCCGCCGCGCCTTGCCTGGCAGGTAAAGGGGCGCGCGGGGCGCTCC